ATTGTGTGGATCACAACAAATTGTGGCAAGTTCTTAAAGAGATGGGAGTACCAGACCATCTTATTTGTCTCTTGAGAAACCTATATGTGGGTCAAGAAGCAACAGTGAGAATTGGACACGGAACCACTGATTGGTTCAAAATTGAGAAAGAAGTTCGGCAAGGCTGTATACTATCGCCCTGCCTATTTAACTTATATGCAGAGCACATCATGACTAGATGAATCACCAGTTGGAATTAAGATTGCTGGTAGAAATATCAACAACCTCAGATATGCAGATGATATCACTCTAATGGCAGAAAGTGAAGAGGAACTAAAGAGCCTCTTGATGCGGGTGAAGGAGTAGAGTGCAAAAGTTGGCTTGAAACTCAACATTAAGAAAACTAAGATCATGGCATCCGGTCCTCTCACTTCCTGGCAAATAGATGGGGAAGAAATGGAGGTAGTGACAGATTTTATTTTCCTGGGCTCCAGCATCACCGCAGATGGGGACTGCAGCCAAGAAATTAAAAGACACTTGCTCCTGGGGAGGAAAGCTATGGCAAATCTAGACAGCATACTAAAAAACAGAGACATCACCCTGCCAACAAAAGTGCATATAGTCACGGCTATGATTTTCCCAGTTGCAATGTATGACTGAAAATTGGATCATAAGGCTGAGCACCAGAGAATTGAGGCCTTTGAATTGTGGTGCTGGAGGAGACTCCTGCAAGTCCCTTGGACCGCAAGGCAATCAAACCAGTCAGTCCTAGAGGAGGTCAACCCTGACTGCTCTTTAGAAGGCCAGATGCTGAAGATGAAACTCAGATACTTTGACCACCTAATGAGAAGGAAGGACACCCTGCAGAAGAGTCTAATGCTGGGAACAATAGATGGCAAAAGAAGAAGGGGACAGCAGAGATAGAGGTGGCTGGATGGAGTCGGACACGACTCCACGATGGGTCCACGATGACTCCACGATGCAATGGGTCAGACACAACTTCACGACTAACAACAACAACCACCACTTCAAAGGGAAAATCCTATGCTCAGTTAGAAAAAAGTTCTACAACTCCCAGCGTTCCCCAGCAAACACGTATAGGATTGTGCCCTAACGAATGCATTGTTGGAAATTCATGATGTGTGCAGGTGTATGCATGTATGTGTGCACATCCTTCAGTTTTAAAATTTACAGGACAATCATTATGGAACTTGGAGTATTCTTTTGAAAGGGAAAAAGAGATGCACCATAGACCTTTGCTGGATGAAACATCTGTGAGTGACAAAGAAGAGCAAGGAGATCTCTGGGCAGGGGTGCTCTTTTCATTTGAATGTGAACTCCTTTATTTGGAGCTAAAGAGTACACAGTTAAAATGTAATAAATAAAACACTGTATGTCAGACTCAGTTAATTGAAATGCAGCATATAAAACTTCAATATAAATTTATTTTAAAGCTTTGCATTGGTGTGAAGATACCATCATAACAATGAATAAAATTAGAATGCTATAAAATATTTATGTCCTATTTTTTCACTGCATATAGCAGATCCCCAAAGAAACTAACAGTCAGCATAATGTAAAATTATAACACTGTATTTTCTAATTATAATAGAAATTACTAATGGAAAGGAGCAGTTTACATAGGATTGCAGGACTTGGCAATCAAGCAAACCCTTAAAGCTACCAGAATAGAATCAGTCTTACCTGACCTTTAAATGCCATCAAGGAGAGAACCGGCTTGGTGCCGTGGGGCAAGTATTGTGAAGGAGCCCCCATTCACTGCTTATCTACCACCTGAACTTCTTAACAGTGCTTGGGACATAGCAAATTCCTACCCTGATCACCTGAGACCTGAGTGGATAAGCACAACTATGCAGGAGGCTGACTTTATTAATGTATTTTGGTCCTAAGCAGTTAAGACTATAATGCTTATAACCAGCTCTTCAAATTGAGATTGGAAATGAATTGGGATCTGATGATGCTTATGTAATAATGGAATCATGTAATTTGAATAACCAATGCTGGTCAAAACTCAGGCTGAACTATTTTGTATCAGTTGAAGTTCATGAATGGAGTCACATAAAGTGCATTATACTAGTCTAGTATTGGTGTAGCCGAAGCATGTGTCATCTCCCCAGATCCTTTTTTCATGTGCCTAATAAGTTTCTTTGCTTTCAGAGCAAAGGGAACGTTTTAAATCTGGATACTCAAAAATGAATCCTCTGTGTTTATAGTGTTCATGAAAGTGGCATGTGCTATTTCTTTAGGCCTTTTTTCTTCAGAGCTAATTACATGAAACTAGAAATTAAAAACTATCCCTTCATGGAAAATGCCGCTTCATGGAACTCTCTGTGCTTTCTGTATTAGAGCTGATTGGTAGTGTCTTAGGTCTAGAAGCATGTTGCTTGGCTGAGTTTATGTTGCCTAGTGAAATGTTAATGTTCTGTCTATTTGTAGTACCGAGTAGTGGTGCCAATGATGGGTGGTATATCTGACCTGTGTGACGGACTCTCAAAGCTCTCCGGGGTACCTGCAGAAAACGTAAGGATAAATTATGATGGCTGACAAACAAAATTTTGAATGAAATTCTTAAGTAGGAAGGTGACTGAAATACGGTGTTTAAAAACATCTTAAGAAGCTTGCTTTATATTATATTGCCTTCTTAGAGAGAAAAAAATATTTCCTAGATTAAAGTTCTTTTTAAAACTGAATCAGCTTCTACTCAGGAGTAGGAAAGCTTTAGCAGAATTTTTCATCACACAGAATAAAAAAATTTAAAATGCAAATATTTACCAATTTTGTTAATCTCATTTATTTCTACATTATATCATACCACATTAAACAGAAAGAGGCTACAGCTTATTGGAATAACTCAACATATTTCTTAATCCTTCCGCTCATTCATTTATTTATTTTTTTTATTTTATTATTTTATTAAAACATTTTTATGCTGCCCCATTCGCCGAAGCCTCGGGGCGGCTCACATCAATAAATTAAAATAATTATAATATAAATTAAAATATAAATATAAAATTAAAATACAACAGTACAGTATAAAATAAGCCGCCCTGGCCAGATAAGACCAATAATGTTAACAGTTAAAATGCCGCTTGAATAAAAAGGTCTTCGCCTGGCGCCGAAAAACAAATAACGACGGCGCCAGGCGGACCTCTCTGGGGAGCGCGTTCCATAACTTAGGCGCCCCCGCGGAGAAAGCCCTCCTCCGAGTACCCACCCTCCTAATTTCTTTCATGGAGGGTTCCCGGAGAAGGGCCTCCCCCGCCGATCTCAAGGGGCGGCTGGGCATATATGGATGCAAGCGCTCCTTCAGGTAACCAGGACCCAAGCCGTTTAGGGCTTTATAGGTCATCACCAACACCTTGAATTGGGCCCGGACTTCAATGGGAAGCCAGTGAAGCTGACGGAGAACTGGAGTCATGTGAACACAACGCCCAGTCCCCGTCAGCAGCCTGGCAGCTCTGTTTTGAGCCAGTTGAAGTATCCGGACCGTCTTCAGGGGTAGCCCCACGTAGAGCGCGTTACAGAAGTCGAGAAGTTTAATGTAACTGAACAATTTTTGAGTCAGTTTTCAGCCCAAATAGGGTCTCCAAGGTGACTTCATAGAATGATAGATTCATAGAATCATTGAATTAGTAGAGTTGAAAGAGACCAGTAAGGCAATTGGGTCTAACCACTGGCTCATTCCCAGACTCAAAGTATCCCTAACACATGGCTGTCCATCTGTGTCTTGAGTTCCTTCACTATAGGAGAGCCCACAGCCTCCTTAGTTCTTTCAGTCTCTCTTCATAGGATTTTGCTTCTAGTACCTTGATTGGTTGCCTTCTTCTAAACCTTTTTCAGTTTGTCTGCATCTTTCTTAAGCTATGATATCCAATACTGGACATAGTACTCAAGATGGGGCTTATCCAGTGCTGAGTAGAGTGGAACTAGTACTTCATGTAATCTCAAAAGCAGAGTGTGGAGTTAATAGATTTAAAATACTTTGTAGCCACATTGAACAAAGTTTTAGCAGCCTGTCTGTTCAGCAGTGCTAATGATTCTGAGCACAACTTTTAAAACATTGTAAATGTTTCTGTTTAGGGTATGATGTTAAGGATCAGATTCCACTTTCTGCATGTTAATTATTGTTTTTTTGGTGATGAAATACGGATGAAACCAAACAGTCCAACTTCAAATGCACGTACCATCAACATTGTGATCATATAACTCTCACCTTCTCCTTGTTCCACTTGCCCTAAAAACAAAAATATGTAGCTCTAATTTTGAAAAGTGCTCCTGGTAGTTGGAAGTGAATAATTGATTGACTTGAGACCTTGAATTATGTATCATTGAATTAATAGAATGTATTTAGTGGCAGGGGCACTATATCATAATTTCTTATTAACTTTTGTAGTACATGTTCCATGTGTTGCTGGGATTTTATCATGTGCGATAATTTTTAATTTGAACACTTGTCTTCTACATCAGGTGAACTTGGTGTAGTGAAAGCCATTGCCATAACATTTTATCCTCTGCATCTTAGAAATCTAGGACCAGCAAAAAATGTACCTGTTTCATACCAAATATTTGCTTTGTCCTCTGTGGCACATCTATTTGCAATGTTACCATTTTTAAAGGAGATGAAAATAAAAATATCTACCATTTCTCTGTTAATGGGCACTTTAGGGTGCTGGCAGTAGCAACTAGGGTGGAAAAACATGTTGCATAACTCAGCTACTGAAATTTTCTACAAATGAAAGAATAGTGGGAGAATGAAATCCAGTTCCTGTTTGATTTTCACACCTTCTCTTTGCTGTGTCTACTAGTCCTCCTCAATCTCAAGCCAAACTACAGTACAAATGGTAGAGAAGCTGGGAAGAGAACCAATTATATTCCTTCCATTTAAAGTTTTAATGAGATTTAAACCTAGGCAAACTCTTAAAGCAACTGCTCTTGTTCCTTCAATTTTGGTATCGGTTCTCATAACAAACACTGGGAGGCTAATTGTGCTTTATAACTGAGATCCAGTATTATCTGAAAGTACCAGAATAACGACTGTTTTGCTTAACTGGTCTTAAAAATGTCTCCTAAGCTGCCAACAGAGAACTCCTTCAATGTAGTAGTGAGGTTGTTGGACCTGGAACTTGAGAGATTGGAATTCCACTATGCTGTGAAATGCACTTGGCGATTTTTGAGCCTGATACAGATTCAGTCTAACTACAGTAAGCTTGTTCTAAGAATAAAATGTAGAGGAGAAGTACCGTATAAGCTGCCTTGCAAAGGGGGAAAAGGTGGGGTAAGAAATAAAGAGTATTGAAAATGCCTCAGAAATTATGTCTTACTTTACTTGATCCATAGGTCACTTAGTGTTATATTTGGATTATTGTCATACTGCTCTAATGTCTGTCTCCAACTATTTGTGTTTTAGATGGTGGTGACAGATGTTTATAACCACAGATTCCACAAAATTTTCCAAATGGATGAAGGCTTAAGTCATATTATGCCAAAGGACAACATCTTTGTGTGAGTAAGCAGGTCTCTGGAAGGAATAGAAATTAGAAAACGCGCTATAGTATACAAATGCTTAACCTTATCAAAGATGATATGGTTCCCAAAATCTGTAATTGCGATCTAAGAGTTCTTACAGTATGATGTATACTGTTCTGATAAGATAAAATGTGGCCCACACCACATGCTGTTTAATTAGTGATCTTGGGAGTGCATATCTGTTGCAATATGTATGGAATTCTGTTCTCTTGGGTTGTTATAAAAATTGTCTTACTAGGATAATGCCACTGTATTACCACAGGCGTCCAGCTGAACATGGGAAGAACAGGGAAGTGAGGATTGCCTCCATGTTCCCCTTTCCCTCAAAAAATTTTAGACAATCATGTTGGTTATCTAAATGATTTCCCCCCTCCTTGCCAGGAAGAATTGCTGAGTCACCCCTGGCAATGGGGACTCTGCCTTTTCATACCTCTGGCCCCACAGTATCTGGCAGTCATAGGATAGTGCACTCAGTCATGTTGGGAAATTGAGCATAGAGAACTTAGGGCATCTGAGAATTATATGTAGATTTTAAAAATTCTAATTAAAACTTTAGTTGTAAAACAAGTTCACTTTCCTTTTGCTTTTTCTCCCAATATCCAATGTGTGTATTGATTGCTGAATATGTCATTTGCGTAGTTCTATAAAATTCCATATAATTGTAATGTTTGGGAGTAAACTGTATGTGAACATTTTCTTACATTTACTTTTGCGTCCTGGAAATATAGACTTGGTTAATTGGGAACAAGCCTGGCATTTCCTTTTTTACTGTAATGATAATTGTGAGTGTGGATATATAATTATAAGAGAGATAATTTTCATGAAACAAATTTGCAACTTCTATGCATGCTAGGACTTTGAATAGGGTACACAGACTTAGAAATTTCTCAAATTTCATTCTGGTGAAAGATGCACAACCATGCATTGATAACATTTGGTGGTTGTATTGCAAGTATGAATTGGAAATATGATAGAAATATTATTCACTTTAAGCTCACAAGTTTTCAATAATGTGATGATAACAGAATGTCAACTATAGATGATCATTCATTATAAGAATGAATTTATTTTTATACTGCCCAATAGCCAAAGCAGTATGACCTTTGCTTCATGTAAGTTTCATATATCTAGCTGTCCCTCCAAGGTTATTAACTATTTATTAATAAATTATTGTAGTACATTTCTTCCATGGTAAATTTCCCTTTGGTTAAACCTCCATGGGGTTATGCAACATACTCACTTCTTGCAAACAGTTTTGGCCATAGATATCAAGGCAAGAGTTTACTGGATGGACTTAGAACAATGTTCTTTCCGGAAAAGGTCCTAGCTTCAGACCTTAGCATCTCCAGGGAGAGGTGGGAAAGACTTTCACCTGAAACCCTGTAGAGCTGCTGCCAGTCAGAGGAGGCAATACTGAGCTAGACCAAATGTGTGAAAATGAAGTATGTTACAACTCCTGCAAGAAAGGAGTTAGGTGTCTAAATATATTTTGGTGTCTAAATATATTTTGATGCCTGGATCCCTCTCAGAATATTTGTATATTTATTTTAAAACATTTGTACAGCCATTCAGGAAAACTCAGAGCAATGTACAACATAATGTTTAAACTCCAGCATTATTAAAGGAGCAACTATAAATAAGAATTTAACCAGTATCAATTCTTCTGCTTTTTTATTCTGGAACAGCAAAATAGTATGCATTATTTCTGATAGGAATTGTTTTCCTAACTCCTAAAAATGTGTGCTGTAGATCCATCAGCTCAGCATAGACCAACCCTGCCATTTGGTCACTTCGTGAGGCAGAGAGTGGCATACCATTACAATGCAAAAATATGTCAGTTAACATATGTTTTACAGCTTCAGGGAGCTTTCTGAATTTTCTGTTTGGGTGCAGAAGTATCTATTAGTATGCCTGTAGCTGTTTTCATTTACTGTCATTCTTGAGCAAGTAAACATTAGGGTGCTTTGATTCCTCTCCCACACCCCAATATCAGAAGTTATTTGGAAATTAGTACTCAATGGATGTTCTAGATAGCATCCAAGTAATGTATAATATGGTAGATGAAAAATTAATAGCCAGAAGTCCCAGTTTACTGTATCAGAAGTCTAAGTCATGTACAAATTTGTTTGCTTTTTCAGATGTTAGGCCTTTTACAAAGTCTTTTACTATGGAGGAGGAGGATAAGGTTATAAAACACAAGATAATGAACTCATTGCGATCCACTATGAAAAGTTAGATCACTGCAGCCAGATTAATGGCAAAGGAACCACCTATACCTTCAGTTTGAACTTAACTGACAAACACAAATGTTATAGGAATACACTGTTTAAAAATAAACTAAACAAGGCTAATTGAAGAGCAGCTTCAAAAGAACACTTTCCTCTGTGGAATAGCTCGATGGGGAATACAGTTGGAGAACTTTGTATCCAAACTGATTAAAGAGATAATTGCACAGTAGGAGTAATCAATATACAGGCAATCGCCAGGTTAAGAATGAATTCTGTTACAGAGAACTTCCTTAAGTTGAATTTGTATGCAAGTCAGATCACATGAGTAAGCCAAATGTTTGTCTTAGTATATGTATTTATTTTGCCTTTCTATGCATATAAAATACTTAAGAAAGGCTTCTATATTCACAAAAATTAAAAACAATACAGCATTGTAATAATGATAATACAGTAATATTAAAGTAACTACAGGTACTGAAGAGAGAGAGAGAATCTGTATGTGTGTAACAGTATTGTAAAAGACAAATAAAACAAACTGTTCTTAAAACAGTTTAGAACATTCTTGGGGCAACATTAAACCTAATATTAACTGATTATGATGGTGCTGGAGAGTCAGAATTTGATTGTAATGCTGGGGGGGGGGGGTTACCAGTGGAATCTAGGGTACAGACGCTGAAAAATGAAAAGCCATGAATACTTTGTTTCTCAGGAAATATGCTGCCACTGAGAGACATGTTGCCAAATGCATTGTGTAGTACCTTAGAGATAGCCATGACTATCTCTAGGAAACTAGACAGCCACTGAGAGATTAATCACCAAATGCATTGCATAGTTACCTAGAGATAGCTGTGACTATTGATATAGGGTTTATGGAAGTTGGCATGTTCATAAGTATGTGTTGTTCATAACCTGGACATTTGTAACCCTGGGTCTACCTGTAGTACCTTACTTGTGAATCTTTTAATGTGAATCTTTTACCAGTATTTTAATGCATGTTCTGTATGTAAATATTTTCACATTTATTCCAAGATTTATTCGTAATTTAGGTAGACTTGTGGCCTAATAGACTTGTAGATTTCATTTACACTGTTTCAGTGGCATGTGTTCTAAGCTTTATAAGAAATGCAAGGATATGATATGTCTATATCTAAAGTTCTAAATCAGAACTTTCATCCCCAAGGGGAAATGTACAGTCATAGTAAGATAAATATAAGTTGTTGTCATGTAGTGTCAGGTTGTCTCCAGCTTATGACAACCTTATGCATGAATACCCTTCAAAATGCCCTGTTCTTCACAACTCAAGAGTTGCCCTGCTCAACTCTTGTAAACTCAAGACTGTGGCTTCCATTATGGAGTAAATCTATCTCACTTTTGAGCTGCTGCTTCTTCTGCCTTCAACTTTCTCTAGCATGATTGTCTTCTCCAGTGATCCATGCCTTGTTATGATGTGCCCAAAGTATAGCAGTATCAGTTTTGTCATTTTAACTTCCAGGAAAAGTTCTGAATTGATTTGATCTTGTTCATTTTTCTGTTGTTCTTGGATGTTCACAAAGCTCTCCTCCAGCTTCATGCTTCATACACATCAGTTTTCTTCTTGTCAGCTTTCTTCACTATCCAGCTTTTAACATTCATACAGAAATACAATAGTATAGTTGATCCTGGCCTTGGTCTTCAGTGAAATGTCCTTACATTTGATTATCTTTTCTAGTTCCTTCACTGCTGCTCTTTAAAGTCTCACTTGGCTTCAGTCTCCCTTTGGATTGATGATTGAGCCACAGTATGCAAAATCTTTCACTATTTTATTTTCTGCATTGTTCACATTGAAGTTGTGTCATTCCTCCTTAATCTAAATTTTTGGGTTTTTTTTTCAATATTCAGTTGCAGTCTTTCTTCTGCACTTGCTTCTTTCACCTTTATCAGGAGTCATTTCAATTCATTGCTGCTTTCTGCCAGTGATACGGTATCTTCTGCATATCTTAAATTACTGATGTATCATTCACCTATTTTCACTCTTCCTTCCTCTGATCCTAATCCAGCTTTCCTTATGATATGTTCTGTGTACAGATCGAACAGATAGAAAGGTATAATGCACTATTGTCTGACACCTTTGCCTACAGGAAACCATTTTGTTTCTGCATATGCTATCTTAACTCTAGCTTCTTGTCGGCTAGTGCTCATTTGCTCCATTTACTATACTAAAGCCTTGAAGAAAGGATCTTCTAAGAAAAATGGCTGGGAGAGAGGAGTTCCACAACCAAATGTGCTGTTGCCCCAAGGGTCCTTGGTGAGAGTGAGATTCTTGCTTGCTGAAACCCTTTTTCAGCAGGGCACATGAAAACGGGGAGGGGGGGGTGTAGTTAACAAAGCAAAGAAGAAAATGAAGGAAAGACGTGGACCTCTCAGGTACCTGGCACAACAGCAGATGGACAGGAAGAGAAGGCTCTGGAAGGGAGTGGGGTATGGCGGATGCATTGAGGATCTTGTGGGATGTCACATTGCCAAACTGTTGTACTAGTACCACTAAGATGTTCCCTATTTTATGTGCATTTGTTTGATTTACATATAGGCAGTCAAGACTAGCACATATAATAATGTTAAATTCTTGTGATAAAATCAATGGCCCCTTTTCCTACAAAATCAGGTACTTCGTAGAAGTTATAAGCTTAATAACTCAAGTGCTAGGAATTCTAATACTGTGGGATTCTGTTCTGTTGAGGTGTATTAGTTCCTAAAAACAAATCTCATGGT